TTGATACCTCTATAATTATTTATATGACTACTTATACTTAATTGCCATAATATATAATTTTAGTATTTCTTTAATTGTTTTAAACTAGTATAATGTATTGAATTCTGCTCTGGGACAAGGGATTTTACAGGCATCATCCACAGACTACAATGTTTAAAATAAAAAAATATTCAGCAAACACCAAGAAAATATACATTGTTGTGCTCACATGACCCAGGTTAGTTTAGTCAGATGTTTGAAAAAATTATATATGTTATTCAAATTTTGTGCTTTATCCGTAGGACTTGTTTTGTCCCTATTCTCAAGAATCACTGATTTTCTTTCTGCTGGACCATTTAGATATCAAGAAGACACAATAAACACTATTGTCACTGGAAGTTCTTTGCTCTGTTTTAATATGTTTTATTTAAGGGCCCACAAAATATTAATTATTTTGCAGAAGCACTGTCACAAATCTCAACCGTCTTACCTTACAAAAGGCTTTCTTAACAAACATTAAATACTAGACGCTGCCTATGTGAGGTCCAGTATTCCAGGTGTTTTTGCCTTTACAGACTTAATTTCATCACTTTAAGTAATTTATTAATTTCTCTATTTTATCGTTAGAGAAAGATAAATACTAGATACACTAAATCTTCTTTATCATTTCCTATTTAAAAAAACCTCAGGGTTATCTTAAGTGTTATCTCTATCATAGTGAAATATTTTCTCAAATAAACTTATATTTATGCCAGTCTAAATTGTGAACAGTTTGCATTGGATCATTTCATTCAAAGATACCAAACTCTGCTTGAATAATGCAATTACAAATTCAAATTTTCTTTCTTTTATGACCTTTGGTCCCAAAATGGAAAGAAAATATAGATTTTCATACATTTTACAGCTATATAAATGGCAGATTTGTAATTAGTAAGTGGTCAAAAGCTTACAACTACTTCTTACGCAAGTCAGTGGGTAAGTTAATACTTGGCACTCTTTGTTCTCAACAACTTTTTTATTTACTGGAAGGAAGAAAAAATCTGGATATATTTTGACCCCTTATTTAGTGAAAAACCCACTCATACATCCTGAAAATATGCTGCAAGTTAATAAATAGGGATCTTTCAGAAACATGAAAGAGACATTGTTACCTTGACATAGCAAAACAGTTACCAAACAGAATAACTGTAAATAAGTATGGTCATTTTAGTTAGTTTCATTTAAGTATTTAAGTTAATTTTAGAGGTTCCCCAAGGAGAAAATACTTTTAGGAATGTATAAAGTAAAAGTATTTAATTCTCCCTCCACATGTTATGATCATGCAGTTTTAACAAATTATCGCAAACTGAATAGTAATAATGACCAACTGAAAACAGACAATTAAAATGCTGTTTTTGCAATAGAATTCAAAAACTACTGCAGTGTACTAAGAGTTAAATATTCAGTGTAGTAAAAAAAGACAGTCAGTTCATTGATGAATTAGAAATTTATTGAACCAAAGACAGAAGTTTGAAACAGCAGATAAAGCAATTTACTATTACTCAAAAGATGAATATACATTCAAAGCCATTTCACCCTATAGAAAATTACCAGATAAGCACATGCTTTTAAAAATATTTTTGGATCAGTTCGACCCACAGAGCTGCGTATTCCAAAGCATGAAAGCACCCATAGAGTTTGTAAACAAGTATTAATCTGTTTCCCCTAAAGAGTTTAAATTTCCATCGTTTGCCTTAATCGTGTGTCCCGTCAACGTTTGCCCCACTCTTTACATTCAACAGCTTGGCAGCCACACTTTTCAATTAAAGTGATTGCCTGTTTCATTATGCTGCCATCTGAACACTTCATCAACACGTCTTTCTTTGTGGTAGCAACCTCTCGACAGCAGGTACAAGAATGCATGAGTTTGTTGGTCTCCACTGAGTACCTGCAAATAAAGATAGAGACATCCATGTCAACATATAATTTTTTTAGTGGATTCTGCTGCATACTTTTTTGTTAAATGTTTTACAAATCTTACATAGATGAGGATGAGTCACAGGTTCCCCCACAGGATGTGAACTCCACCGGCTCGACTGACACGCAGTTGTTTGCGTACAGTTTGGTGGTGTTCTTGTGAAGCTCACAGTTGTAGCGAGGTGTACCTGTGAACCACAGTTAGTTTTAGAAACACACATTGGCAGGGAAAACATAATGGAGTATCTAAAGCATCCATCTTGTGCTTAGGGCCATTAGGTCAATAAAATCAAAGTTTAACATTTTTGTCTCTTGTCTAAAATGTTCTACTTTTCTAGGCTTCTATTCTGTTTGACAAAATTCTAAGTATTCACATCCTCTTTGTCCTCATTTGACACATTCTATTGAAGAAAGCTAAGGGAATAAGTAATTTATAGCCTAAAAGTAGTTTACAATGAAAACTAAAGATGTATTTATAGTTGAGAAAGATGTAAATGGAGGCTGACATTTTTGTAAACATCTTTTGAAACATTATTGTATTTACTTACAGGTTCTGCAGCATCCATTCATGTCACTTGTTTCTGTTCCCTGAAACACATAAAAAATTACACATCTGACTGTGATCACTGATGTCACACTTCTGTGTTGGAAGTGTGCAGTGCCTAATGTTTGTTAAAGTATAATGTTGACCCGCCTCACATACCTGAACTCATTTTATTGCTATTACTGTTTTACAAATTAAAATGGTAATTTTTTAAGCTTCAGTTAAGCCAAGTTATCATAAAGCAAAAATTTGATTTATAAAAATATATATACTATATTATCATCTTAGACCAAATAATGACATCAACTTTATTTAAGGCACTCAATACTCACTGGAACACAGTTTTCTGGATCAAATGCCGGACACATAGTTTGGTTTCTGATAACCAGGAATTCATCCTTCACCTTCTGACAATCATATTGGGTGCAGTTGTCATTTGGTGGTGAAAACGACTGTGAAGGCTGTGAACATGCGTAGAAGAGTAGGGTTAGTGTAGTCACAATGTGACTTACAATTGAGATGAAGGTTGCAAGGATTTTTCTTTTCTATGTCTTTGTATTGTACTTTAATTACCTTAAGAACTACTGGTGAGTTCAAACCAGGGACATCAAAAATGCAGTGCGTCTGTTTACATGATCCACAGCATTCTCCAGGCTGATCCACATGCACGTAACCCTATCAAAAATGTATAGTTTAATAAGTTTCTAACTGGAAATAATTTAGTCTGTGTAATTTTAACAACTTCTAGATAGCATCCATTCTACTGCAACACTAACATGCATAAAAATTTATTGAACTGGATAGTTGTACTATTCTGTCAGAAACTGTATCAGGAATGATCAACTAAATTAAATAGTGTGACTTGGAATTTCTAAGAAATGTTGAGTCATTATAAACCTGTTACCATTAGTACCAAAACCAAACTGATGCACATCGTCATACATAGAGCATCAACTTTTAATACCTAGAAAATAAGTTTTGTAAGGTACTTATCTGGTCTTACGAGTAACATTTTCTATAATGTAAAATATTTCTATCCAATATACAACTTATTTGGCATTAACATCATCTCTTTACCTCTTTACAAATGATGTTACACTGTATTTGCTGACACTCTACGGTGTTCAGCTTAGTCTTTGGATCCTGTTTGTTGGTGCAGTGGCAGTGTTCACATGGGTTGTTTGAAAAGTTTGTACCTGGCTGTGGGAAACACAATGAAAAGCATTTATATACATGAGGTGCTACATATCAAAAAAGCAAAAAAAAAACAACAAAAGAAAAACAGTTCTTACCTTGTACTCTGTGTCATTGTAGACGCATACATCTTTTGGTTCTAGATGAGACAGTAAACGAGGTTATGTTTATATATAAGCTTAGTTTTTTGCATTTGAAAAACTGCTGGGTTGTTTCATGAGAGGAAGTTAACATGAGAAAAGGTAATGATGGAAAGCTGAATTAAACAGTGTGAGTTATTTACACTAATTGACGAGTTGAAATCGGAAGCAGTCAGTAGAAAGGTGATTTTCATACTTTTTTGGGAAATAATTGTTACCATTATCAGTAATAAATAATGATGAGTAGTGATAGTAAGAAACGTACCACAGGTGAAGACCGGGCAGCAGCTTTCATTGGAAACTTTGACAGTTAACTCAAAGCCAAGATTACACTTTTGTGTTGGTGATGAACAGTGGTTTTTATCACACTCTGTTGGTGAACATGGTGTATGTCAGTTAGTTGATTTTGATTATTTTTGCTAAAACATAATATGCGTCATCAATCCAGTTCTACTAATGAAAATTGCTTACCACACGTCAGTTCCTGGCAGCAGTTAACCGTTCGGTTTACCAACACCTCGCCATCCTCTGTGCACTGTATTGGTTCTTGTGTCGGGCAAACTAGAGGCTCACACTTAACACTCAGAGAATCTTTGTCACACTTGCATTGCTGGCAGCCGCTTTTCCATGTGTCACCAATCTGTTAATATTATGGAAAAAAATGACGCTACAGCAACAAACAGACAAACTGATAAAAAAAGTTACAATGTATGAGAATGTATACCTGTTTAGGTTCACCAGCAGGTCCAGAGCAACCTTAATAAACAGTAAAAACGGTTTAATTGAATATTAAACAAAAATACATCGTTCATTGGTCTGGCAAAGAACAAAAACTATTCTCACAGGATGAGACACAGGTATCGGAGCCTGAATCAAACAACATCTTCCCCTCAGGGCAGAAACATCCCTCCACTAATCCATTGCAAGTATCTTCTTCTCCTGCACACTGCTGTTTGAGTTTATTGTTGTATCTGAATGTAAAACAAATGACAGTTAAATTTCAGCTTCCAACTTGTCAAAAACAATGGAATCACAATACAGCACAGTGTATTCCAGTAAACATTAGGAAATATAGCAAATAATCAATAAAAATTTCCACGGATTCTTACTTAAATGTTACCACTGATTCACTTGACACCATGTTGCTTTAGGTAAGCACTTTGTCAAACATTATATATACACCGGGAACAATTACTGAGATGACTCTTTATGTTACATGAATAACTTTCAGAAAACTGCTCTCTTTTAAAGTATAACTGCTAACTATAACCTGTGTTTGGGATCTGTTGGTGATATAACAAACTGGTTGGCATAACAATAGATAAACTGACTTTGAAAATGTATTATTTCAACATGTAGTTTGTTTTTATTTCTTTCAGGGGGATATGTGTGGTTTCAGATATGAAGGAAGCCAGATTTAGCTCTGTGCTTTGCTTTTCTCTGGTTTTGACTGATTACAGGACACTTCAGAAACCAAATTACACCACACCATCTAATACATTGTGGGGGCAATTCTTGACTTGGAAACTGCATAGCGAATGATTATCGATTGGTTAGATAGTTTCTTTAAAGTTCTTGACTTTTGTTCTTAATGAAAATTTTAAAATATTTAACCTGTATGTGATACTTTATTCTCAAATATTTTTTTGTAGGTGTTGATAAAAACTGTTGGCAGCCACGATGGATAGAAAGTTCCTTGTCAATGTGAGTTTGAGAATGGTTTGAAGCAAATGTGTATTTGAGAATTCACTTGTCAGCATTTATACGTTCTGATTATAATAAAAGACAAGTAAAATGGTTCGGTTTGTTAGCTTGTATAGTTATTGTTAGGCCGACAGACATCCTAAAATGCAAAAAAAAAAAAAAAGTCCTTCCATCAATTATAAACTGCAAAAGCAGTGTCCTTACCCTGCATTGCACGTTTCAACAATACTTGGCCCACAGGCCTTGTATACTTTATTTGGTGGACATTTGTAGTCTGCAACAAAAAGAAGTGTACTGTATTACATTAACAATAACATGCATGGAAAATCCCATTTGAAAGGAAATTAAGTTCTACAGAAGCAAAACTGTCTTACTGCACTCTCCTTTGGTCAGGTTCCTCCAGTCTATGCAGACAGATGCTTCAGCACACATCATGGCATATGCCGCCAGACTGGTGCAGCCCACGGTGGAATTTGGCATGTGGCAAACATCAAATTTACAAGCTTCATAATATGAACTGGGCGCAATTTTTTTGTGGCAGTCCTTAAACATCCTTATTGTAAGAATGAACATGAAACAAGTTAAATTGGGTTTGCAGAAAAATGTTATCAAATGTTCAACTTATTTTGCAAATTCTCACTCGTGCTTTATGATTTCACAGAGGGCAGGATTGCATGCTGGTTTCGGTGGCTCTGTTATTGGAGGAGGTCGCGAAGGCATGGACTCACAGTATGGTTTTTTCGTATCATTTACACGCCAGTCAAATGCCATCTCAGAGCATAATGGATGAATTTTGCCATTTGGTAACCTGCAGTCATTTTTCTTGTTATTGTCGCAGTAGCCTTGTTAAAAAGAAGAAACATCCATAGGAAATAGATTACAAATTCACAAATAGAAAAAATTTCCAACATCCCTAATGCAAATGTTCATGCTATTTATTTGAAGTGTAATCTTGGTATTCAAGACTCTATCCCTTTTTGCATTTTTACATTTTTAGCTCTTGAGGGTTGAAGAGACTTTTGTATCGACTGTATGTTTGCTGTTTTCCTCATTGTGGTATTGTGCAGTGAGGGTTTTCCCTCTAGTTATTTCTTGCATAAAGCTATAAATTAAAGTTTTCTTTGGGAGGTGTAGTGATTTATCCATTGTTAACAAAATGCTATTATACATTTTTTACTAAACAGTCCCATTATATTTTTCTACCTACTAAGATGATAAGAATCACCATTTATTTTTAGTTTGTCACAAGTTATGGGGTTGCTTACCACACTGTCCTTCTGTGTTGTTGTGGAAAAGTGAAAATGGCAAGTCAATACTGAACAGAAGCCCTGTGAATGAAACAACGCCTTCTATCTGTGGGATTTTAAGAACCATCTGAATTCCTGTGCTTGTAATAATGAAGTCCTTATTTGAGTAGGTTGGAGTCACTTTCTTTCCATCAACATATATCTAAAACATGAATGACAAGTGAAAAAAAGCATGATTACATTTATGTAGTACAAACATATTTGGAGAAGGTTAGAGATAGCCATACGTACCAAATTCTCAGTTTTTGGGATTCTCGTCTGTGTAAGAGTTACTTCATAGTTTTTGTAATATACAATCAAAGCTTTGGGGCACGTCACAGTTCCAGAAGGATCACAGTTTTCATTGTCAATAAGAATTCTTAAATTGTATTTGGGAATTATCTCTTTGACCAAGACATATGTGCAGTTGTGCTGGAAACTGTAGTATTGGCCATCAAATGTATTGTAATGGGGATCTCCCCAGCCTGTACAAAGACCTGAAAACAGTATATTAACATTAAATTGTGTTTAATCACAAAAAATTACATGTAGCTGTCTGTAGCTGTTTTTCATTAAACTCACATTTGCACTCATACTGAAAACAGCAGCCTCCTTCATCAAAAACCTTAACAGGTTGAAAACCGTTGTCACAAGCTGGTATGGGTGCTGGATTACATGATGCATATGTTTTGACCTCTTTTCCTTTCTCACAAGTGCTTTTGGTGCATTTGTCTGAACTCCAGGATTCTCCATCCTGTAAAAGAAATATTTTCAGCAATATACAACCACTGTCTTTATATTTAAACTCTCTACTGGCATATATTCAAATTGTAGAATACAAATATCCAAAATTGTATTGGCTTTAATTTGAATGCTTTTTTACAGTTTTTTAAACAGTTGGTCATGGTGGTCAAGCCATTAAAGGCAATTTAATCTAATCTAGTCAAAAGAAGAGATTGTAAACAAGCAAATATATTTTTTGCTTGCTGCAGTATATATAGCAAGCTTTTTGCCAACATTTACCAACAAGCACAAACATATTTAAATTGCCCAACTCATTTAAGTTTGAACAGACTGGACAAATCGGTTCCTGTTGGGATTCTGTATCTATATGGGACTCTCACATCTCTGAGAATTGTTTGAAATTTTTAAATGACTTTTAAAAACACAGGCAATGTTTATGATTCTTAAAGCATGGTTTGAAGCAATATAACCATTGGGTCGGTGCTGAATACCTTTGTAGTACTTGTATTAATTCTATGAAAGGGGCATGAATTAGGTATTTATGGTATCTCAAAGTTGCGTGCATCGCTAAAGACTGTACGGTTGTCTGGTTTACCAGGAGGTAGAAGAATCGACCCTTTTTGTTGATGCTAAATGCTTTCTGATGGACTAAATAGTGCTCTGAGAGTTGAATATTGTTTTAAATCTTAAATCTGCTGCAAAGCAATTAGCAACTTTGTCCCTCGTCTCTCTGGTGTGTTCCTTAGTGTATATGATTACTAATGTTCTCTAACAAACCTCTGTGGCCAACAAGGTGGATATTTTACTCATCAGATGACCTCTACGGGCAATTCTTTGTAAAGGATTTTACTCGGGTTTTGCATTACACTTTGCCATGTTGCATGACTTTGTGGAGATCCATCACATAAAAATCCAATGCAAAACATCGAGGTTTGTTGTTGCAATGTGACAAAATTTTAAAAGGTTAAAGATGTTTTAATATGTTTTTAACACATTATGTATACTGTGATACATTTCGTGACAGCACAGGAATTAGGAAACACCTTCTTTTGAGAACTCTGATCTGATGAGAGTCTACTTAAAAAAGGCTGTTGATGCCAAACCTTTGCTTGCGTCTTTACCACAGCAAGAGGCCAGGCATGGACTGCTCTTTATTTTGATATTCATTTTTTTCTTCTTTGTAAATATTAAAAACTGTTTTATTCCCAGTCTCCTTAGTGGTATTTGGTTACAACATTGTTTATATAACATATTTTTCAGCAAGGAGAGACATCTGGGTAATAACATATGATGTGGACCAAGACAGTTTGGATTCAGTTCACCCCTCAAAATGGTCTGATTTAAGTGTCCTTGAGTTTTTAATCCTATCCAAAGATCAGCAAATCACTCAAAATAGGTTGTTGTGGCCATTTATGTAATGTTTGCAACTTGTAATTTCTACTAATTTAGTTTTCTATTTTGGGAAGTTAGAATTTATTTAAGTTAAGTTTAGATCCAAAATCTGTAGTTAATTTGTACATTTGAATTGATTAGATTATGTTGGTAATTGGTTAGACCCTCCCATTAATTTGAGTAATTAAAACACACCGGGTGCTTGGTGGAGCCCTTGTTTGGCAAATGTTTGGTGTGTGGATGGGAGGTTTTTTGTAATTGATTTTTTGACCACTTTCACTTTTAATTTTTTTGTACTTGAAACGTCATATTAAGTTTACTTTCATTTTTTGACTAGGTTGTGGGACATTTTGGTAATTATCTTGTCGCTATTTTTTTTTACAAGAAATAAAGAATATATTTTTTCAAACAAATTAAGTCGGAAGTGCGCTCAAATCAAAAACCACCTGTTAACACCCACGGCCTTTGTTGGAATATTGTTTTTTGGAAATGAGAAGGCCGCGACATAGGTCTTAGTGATATATCTGAATGTAGCTTTTTTGTTGTCTTGTGGCTGTAATTTTACATATCTTCTCAGCTGCTTCACATTAAACTACTCTAAGTGATAAGTCTTTTTTTAAATCAACACTATTTTAAGTACAGACATTGCATAAGGTTGGTTACCTTTCTCGGTGGTGTAAGAAATGGGCAGTCTGTCATAGCAGGTGTTGTAGGTTTAGCCTTCTTTGTGGTAGCTGGAGGACTTGGTGGAATTGTTGTGTGACACGGTCTGGCATGCTTTTCAACACTACAGTTCAAACTGCAGTATGCAGTGAAACAATAGCCATCTCCATTAGTCTTGTTGTACATGAAGGTACCTAATTTACAGTTTAAAGAAAAGTTTTAGAGAAAATGAATAAATTATGTCAGAAAAAAATGGAAACTGTTGATACGTTATTTTCTTAATAAAACAATAGAATATTTTATCAACAGTTCAACATTGCCCTCATCAAGTAAGAATATTATTGCAAAATGAGCATCATTTGCCATCTGTATTTGTTCTGCTAATAAATAACGGATAGGTTAAAGTTTCAGTACAGTGGCAATTTCACATATGGGTGGCATGGGCAACCGCCCAGAGTGGCATTTTGTGGGGTCAGCATGAACCTCCCCTGTTCCCATCCTCCAATATCTACTCCCCCTTTACAATTATTCCCCTCCCGCTCTGTTCTCAGAACCACAGGATCTGAATGTCACCAGTGCCTTATCATAATATGAGTGTCTTTTATTTAAAATTTATTTACAAGTCATAGATGTCTTTATAAATAGATGTCAAGTATAGCAACAACGAATGATGCAAAAAAGTACAAAACTTACCAGGTGAGAAAATCTGATTCATGTATTTGCAAGAGCACAAAGTTGTTCTGCCAGTTGTAGTTTCAACACTGTGCTTCTCTGTTATTATCACAGTAGTTGACTGACTTGCAGTGCTTTCTGATGTTGTGGGTTTTCCAGTGATGGTGGTGCTAGATGTTTCTACAATTCCTGGGGTTGGAGTTTCTACATGAGGTGTTGTAGATTTTTCAGTGACAATTGTAGTTGTGGGCTTTTCAGTCTCTCTTGTTGGGGTAGGTGTTGTAGTTGTTGTGCCTATAATTACAGGTCCAGTCTCTGGTTTTTTAGTGCTGTAGGTTACTATTTGTATATGAGGTGTTGTGGAAGTTTCTTTAAACATTGTTGTGGTTCTCTCACTCTCCATTGTTGGGGTAGGTGGCTCTATGTAAGGTGTTGTGGAGACTTTTTCTGTAATTATTTTTGTGGTTTCAGGTTTTGTAGAGAAAATAACTGTAGTTTCTACATGAGGCGTTGTAGGTTTTGGTGTAATTATTGTTGTGGGTTTTCGTGTCTCCATTGTTGGGGTAGGTGTCTTTATGTGAGGTGTTGTGGAGACTTTTTCTGTAATTATTTTAGTGGTTTCAGGTTTTGTAGTGCCAGTAGTTGAGATTGTAGTTTGTTTTTGAGGTGTTGTGGATGTTTCTATTGCTGTTGTTGTGGGTGACGGTACGTTAGTGCCTGGCGTTGTGATTGGTGTTTCTGAATGAATTGTTGTTGTGCTAGGCTCACACATGTCTTTGTAAGTGCAACATTGTATCCGAATTTCATAATCATAACATTGTGGAGGTGTTTGATCCTTATTATGACAGATTAGTACATCTTTAGGGCTACAGATTACATTTTGATTTAAATCTTTTAAAGGCACATCTTTTAAAAGTTTGGATCGGCATTGAATTTGTAGTGGTTTTCTACAAACACTCAAATCCGGATCAGAAATGTTTGCTAATCTTTCATAATCTCCATCTCTGTTGTGTCCGGGGTAGTCATTGTTAATCCAATTTGACCACTTGCAAATATAGCAGTCACTGGGTGATGTAGTAGATGTTTCGGGTGTAGTGGTAGTACTTTCAATTGGAGCTGTTGTGACTGTGGATGTTTCAGTCTCTCTTGTTGGGGTAGGTGTCTCTATGTAAGGTGTTGTGGTTGATACTATTTCAGTTTTGGAGCTTTCAGTGACTGTAGATGTTGATGAAGATGGATTTAAGGAGGACAAAGGCACAGTTGTAGTTTTAGATCTTGTGGAAACTCTTGAAGTTGAAAAAGTCAGAATTGATGTTACTGCTTGAGTTGTGAGTGTTGGAATAGGTGCAGTTGTAGTTACAGGGTGTTCTGTAGTACTTGCTGTGATGAAACATGAGAACAAGGATAAATTAATGTTAATTCGAAACACTCTATAATCAATCCTCACACAGTATTTATTTGTGTCTTATCTTACCAGTTGTGGTAAATGTAAAAGGTGTTGTTGTTGGTGTACGTATGCATGGTGCCATTTTTACTATGGTTCCGTTCGGTCCACAAACACCCGAGATGCAGGTTCCATCTCCATCATGTGTTTCAAAGACTGTATCGCCATATTTGTAGGTTTCATTCATGTAGACACAGGTGCAAGCTGGAAAATAATGACATGGCTCATGACAATTTGTCTTCAATAATTTTTCTGACAGTGACAAAAATCTAGCTCCTGGTTTGCAAATCATATGCACATATTTTTGCCTTACCATTCAAATCATAAATGCATGTCAGCTGTGTTGAAGAGCAAGAACTGTGAGAAAAGGAAATAAGTTTATTTTCATGTTTTAGGTACATATTGTTTTTGAAACTTGTTCCGTTACTAAACATAGCAACATTTATATATTTGAAAGGATCCTACCACTTGTGACAATTTGCAGATATTGACTCTCCATCCTTGTAATGGTTTCCATCTTCATCATAGCAGCCGCACTCTTTCTCAGACACACACTTCATGCTAGCTTCATCAAAATAAGGCTGCTCCCGAGGGCATGATGGATAACACCCTTAAAAAGTAAATTCATTTTGGAAAGCACACAGAAGATTTAGTCATTTCTTTAGCCTTTTTTCAGATTTCATGTAATCTTCATGGCTAGGTAATCTGCTGAAGCACTAACATATTGTGAGGATATAGATGAAGAAACAAAGATTTGCTTCTGTTTGAAGCACTTAGCACATTTTGACAGGCAGCAAAACAGGGCTAAGCCGTTATACAAAAGGGGATCACAGACTTGGAATATGGGATTTGACATTTATTGTGCAAATAAAGTCACAAAGAGAATTTTGGGTCTGTCTTTTTGTTGCACTTGTATAATTTGAAAGGGGCTTGCAGTGGAAGTTTGTAAAAGGTTCTATTGATTACAGTAAGCATCCCCAATTTTAACTGTAATAATTTAATGGGATTTACCTGAAGAGTATTTAAAAATCTGATGTCAAATATCATTGTCACTAATCTAATAAAATTAAAGATCTAAAATGCTTTTCTTTCTTATCATTCTTACCTTCCAGTGGTGGAAGTTTATTGTAGCATTTCCCTGAAGGATTCCTGCATGTCTTCATGCATGACTTTCCACATGGAGCGTAGTGCCACTCGCACTCTCCATCAAGGTTGTAATAGTCACAGAACAGAGCTGATAAAACAGAACACAAGTAAGTTGAACGTATTTGTTCAAGATACAAGACATTGTAATTTTTTTTCAGAAAATAAATTAAGTAGTAAGAGCCTATATTTTTAAGTTCATACACACAACAAAAAGCAATCTTGTTATCTGTACTGTGTTTTATTTTTTATTTTCAAACATGATTTACTCCCCATAAGCTATCAGAATCCAGGACCAACAGGGACCATTTCTTTTCTGCCTTTGCAGAAACCCAATCCAAACTTACGGCAGATGGTGGGGGTTCTCCACTTCACACAGGCTCCAGCCTCATTGCATGCTTCTGCATATGCTCCTACAGCTGAGCAGAAACACTCACAATCTCCTCCCGTGTTGCAGGCACACGTATCTGCCACACAAGCCTCATAGTACTGTTCTGGCTCCACCTTTTTAGAAAAACGTAATTGTAAATGCAGGTAACAAATGAAACGTATTGTTCTCTAGTTGGTTATGCAAGAACATATCTTCATTTATACTATCATTAGCATTTAATGTCCTTAGTTTTTCTCACCTTGTCATGGCAGGAAGTAAACACTTCACTTTTGATAATGTTGCAGTGTTTTTCTGCCCATGCTCGTCTGTGAGAGTACAGAGCACACGGGTTCAGTGTGGTGTTTACATCTGAGCAGGAGGATGACAGTTTCCAGCTGTTTCCAAACTCTGTTGGATTAACTACAATTTCGTTGCTTCTGGTAGTGAAATCATTCTTGATGGCCCCATCATAATTTCCACACAGGCCACAGACTTTGCCCTGCCATAAAATAAAAGCATGATCATTTCTGAATTGAAAGCTCTCAAATATTTATTCAAGAAACTCTAGATGTCCTCCTCACTCACCTTGAATGTGGAGCTGAGTTTGATCATGATTGTTGTTTTCTTATTCCAGATGAGAAGAAGGCCATTATTTGCCTCAATGACGACATATATACCCATAGTGTGGACTTTAAAAGGTATGTCAATCCCTTTGCTTTGACTGATAACTTTGATACTTTCGTCTGACAGAACAATTTCTTTCATCTAAAATGATAAATAAAGCACACAAACACCAAATGACACATTCACACTCAATCAGATGCTGAAAGCTTTAGCTGGACAGCTGGAGGCACTACAGTCATATCTGAAAATGTAAAGGAAAGTTATTTTCTTTCTAAATTAAAAATTGTTTAAAAAAAAAAGCATGACAACCTCTTCAGGTGGGGCTCAACATGAGAGGAAAATAATTAACAAGAAAAATTAACTGCAAACATTTTGTCAACTTCACCAACATTTTGTCAACTTGGTCTCTGTTCCAGAGACCAAATTATAAATAACAGCTACAAAATAGTGATTAAGAAGACAGAATCTTGTGTCCTTAATATTTAAAAATGTATATTTTTTTAAATATTTGTTTTTAATTTGAAAATAAAATAAAAATATACAATTATTTTTAAATAATACAATGTTATTTATTTAAAATACATATATAAAAAGAAGGAAGTATGACTTAAGGTGTTCCTGGAGATGCTCCATGGTCACAGTGTTTTTATTTTATATATATATATATATGTTTTTTTTTTTTTTTTTTTTTTTTTTTACTGTAGTCTAAAGAACTGAGGTCACATCAGAGGGAGTTGTCGATTTGCTCTCTGATGGGAGGCTAGCTTTCCTACACTTTGAACACTCCTGGTTTGAAACATTACTTTTTACAACTTAAAAAATAATAATAGTTTTTATAGTTTGGTATCATCAAACTTTTTCTTGCATGTAAGCACAGATCACCAGGCAAAAAAAACAAAACAAAACGTAGTATTTTGTGAATGCAATGGAGTGTTTTCTCCATATTTACATACCCCCAAGTAGAGTTTAATACTGGTGGAGCAAATGCTTTCACCACATGGGATGTTTTCAGTCCGGACCCTGAAGGTGCCATTCACATCGTCTCCACAATAATCCTGCAACAATTCGAAGTCAGTTTAACAAAACTTACCTTGACACAAGAACAACAACAAAAACATAAAACCCACAAGAAACTTTACCTGAGAAAAGATGTAGCCACAATCCCCCTTAAAGGCAAATTTCTTGTTATCAAAAGTAATATAATGTCCCTCTCCATATATGGTGCAGGTCCCACCACAGTCATTTTCTGTGCATTGCCATTTCCTGTTTTTGCATGTGCTAGAATTTTAATCAATATATGAAGTTAATAGTCAAAAGAGACAGAATGGTGTGAAATGTGTAGAAATCTGGTACTTGTTAAATGTGCAAATGAAATCTCACCATGTATTACAATCCACTTGGATTTTTTCTCCTGGGTTATAGTATTTTCCATCATGGGGGCAGGGACAGTCTTCCTCTTCTACACAGCCTCCTTTCCCATCTGACAGCAGGCCATTGGGACACACACACCCTGAGACGCACTGTGAACTCACCTGCGCAATATGGTTAATTTATTTACAGTTTATTTAGTTGCTTAAACATATAAGTACTATTTATTTAGAAGCATTAAGCATGCCAGCATCTGAGTCTTACACATTCAGCATCCAATGTGTTGCAGCTCTTCTGACACTCTGACCCCTTTTCCTTTGACTTTGCTTTGGAGCAATTGAAGAAAACCATGGGACTGGTGCATGCTGATGACAGTGATACAGCGTTAAAAGAAACTGCAATCTAAAGCATTCTGTTGTTAAAACTTGTCTTTACTGCAGCACTTTATGCTTACACTTAGATACTGGCTCTCCTTTACAAATAAATTTTCCAGCGTGGCAGGTGCTGAATAGCAAGACAGACAAAAAAAATGTTACACAAAATTAAAAGAGTGTAATTACAAAGTCTTTAAATTGGTATTGATTCAAAACAAAAACATATTTTGTTCTTAAAATTAACTTTTATACCATTTTTCCCCACAAAAAATATGTCATTATACTTCAAAGCAGATATATAACAAATAATGGTTCAAAATACAGGAGTAATTTGCATTAAGTGCAAACAGTTATAGTCTGTTGGTGCAGTCAATATTAAAATGACAAGATAGCATTTCAAAACACAAAGCAAATTTTGTTCTTCATGTGACAGCACAAAAAGAGAGGATTTCAATGGGGTTTTTTCTCAGCACTTGAAAAATAGACCAGCGTAAAAAATCTGTAACATAGGAAAAGGTAAAACCTGGACTTGAATATTCCACACCAATTATATATTCCTAAAAACAGTATGTGATTTCAAAACCTTTACTTAATTTGTGAAGCACCAAAAATAAGCAGTCTTCTATTTCTACAAAATATTACCTACATTTTATTTTGTCTTTTGAGTATGACATATTAGTATGCCCCTTGCTGACACCTAGAAGTCCTTACCATGTTCGTCCTTGCACACTGGCCGTCTCCCCAGGCTGTACCACTGTGTTTCCTGCCTGACAGGAGCACTCTGAAGCTGATACACAAACTCCTTCCTCGTTTAGAAAATATCCTTTAGCACAACCACAGCCGTCAACTGGGGTAACCTCAACCTTGCAAGTCACGTCCGACTGACTCAGAGAGCGGCAAGTTCGACCGCAGCGCGTCATTTTGTAATTGTACACAAGTGTCGAAGGGCATTCTGTGTATTTGCCTGTTGAAAAAGGAAAGGAATATTTGGTGCATTATTGCTTTAATTAGACTGCGCATTTCTATCTGTTTTGTTTATCTTAGACATACTGCAAACATCTTTTCTCCAGCCTTTCAGGAATACACCTTCAGCAGCACATGCATGGACATATGAGGACAAGGCGGCACACATGCAGTCCTCGCTGTTTTCACAGGCACAAGTGTCATACATGCAAGTCTGTGAAGGTAAATGACATGAGATTAGATTAAACATTACAAGGTATGGGAAATGAAGAGCAAAACAACAACAACAACAACAACAAAAATAGAAATTAGATGCGCACAGAAAGCGCTACATGCTTACAGCAAAGTACTCTTCTGGGTCTATTTTAGAATGGCAATGTGAAAAAATCCCATTTGTGTCTGACAGGAGGGAGCACCAGGTTTTTGCAAATTTGTCTACAAAAGAAAAAAGAATAAGTTAATTGGTGGAGTACTATGGGTGATATATGGATAACTGTGTCAATGACTTACTCTTGTCAATGCTTAAACTGCAGGGGTCTGCAAGGTCATTTTTTACATCTGAACAAGTTGGTTTGGCCCGCCATGTGTTGGCAAAGGCCACTGGTGTTCTTTCTGGAAGTCCACTTGTAGTTTTGAAGTCATCTTCTGAGTTATCATTGAAATCTCCACAAAGGCCTACAAAAATATAACACTTAAACTTGATGCCCAATAAAAAACAAAAACACACAATCTTGAAACTCCTAAAGAATAATCATACCCATAACTTTACTCTTCAGGGAGACATCGGCTCTGATGTAGAGCTGCACAATTGGTACAACCTGAATCTCGAGATCAAGTCCAAAGGTTGTGTGGATTATGGTAAAGAATGTAGAGGGACGGAAGATTGTAATGTCATCTGCAAATGGAAAGAAACACATAAAATCTCAAATATTTCATTAAACTTTGAGCAAAACCAATTTATGTTGCATTTTCACTGAAAAAGGCACACTAATAAAAAGCATCTACTCACCCAGGAAAAAAGGAAGCTCAAAGACCTGATGGTTATATGAGACTTCATTTTTGTCTTTAACTTCAATTATCTTTGGGAAAACACAAGTTACTAACACAAGTCAGTAAATTTTATACACACACATATCTAAATATATAGTCTCATGCATGTGTGACATAAATATTTTACCGTGTGATTTTGATACAGCAGAGTGATGGCAGACAGACAAGTTGATTTATCAGACCTTTCACATTTGTCGAAATCACCAAGCACAGTAAAAGCATTGTCTTCAACCTGAAGCCACAAGGTGAAAAATACATTCAGATATCAAATAATTATCTGATTGGAATTCAGTATAATTCTGCTTAAAAGAAACTAACATTTATGTTCTATTTAGTTTTAAGTGTTTTTATTAATATCTCTTTACCTTGGACAAAACATAGGAACATTTTCCATGGAAATTGTATGTCTTATCATCATAGGTGGAGAAGTGAGAGCCTCCTCTGATGGAACAGACAGCAGGACAGTTTGCATCTACACAGCTCCACTCACCCTTTGAACAGGTGCTGTAGAAAGACACATTATGTTGTCAATTCACTGGATTTCCCATCTCAGAAACAGATATTGAAGCATACTGTATTCTCTTTGTATTTATTTATATAGTTTTTACCAGTTTTTACACGCCATCATGGTTGATTCCCCAGTGTTGTACGTCTCGCCTTTGTGGAAACATGGGCACTGCTCAACAGGAACACATCCACTTTCTGAGATATCATCAAAGATTGTACCTTGGAGGAGATGAGCAATAGTTGGTAATGATTATTGTCAATGTTATAACACTAATATAGTCCAGATCAAATTCTGTAAGTGTTATTATATGTGTGGGAGTGTTGGGTTTTGACACTATGATGCTATAACAGATGTCTGATTCTTTTAAATGGTTTTAAGGGTTACAGTTTTAACTTTAATATTTTAAAGGGATAGTTCATATTTTTTTAGGTGGCTGCTACATTGGATTTTTGATTCTCTTTGAATCAAAAGACTCATCCAAATGTCCTATAACATTAGTGTAAGTGGCACTGTTAATGTTAGAGATGTTATGAATAGTTTTCTGCAGTAGATTCTACAATGACCCATTGTAATAACTTGTACAAGCAGGGAGCTGCTTCAATCAAAGGTTCTGACCTATTTTATATTTCAACACTCAAAATAGTTTTACTTCTCTGTCTGTGCTCTTACTTATCTTTCCAATCTGAAAGTTTGCCAACTACTGTTTGCATAAGGTAGCATGCTAGAGATGAGAACATGTAAGAGCTCTGTTACAGAACATTTTGCAAACAGAGTACTATTGTGTACTTAACAAAATAAATACAACTGTTAAAGCTTAGATATTGCTAAGGCTTAATTTGATAATCTAACTATGGAACATAAATAACAAGACAAATGCCACACTATAAAATATTGAACAGTTGGATTACAAATCAATATTAACTGTGAAACTAACCAGGAGGACAGAAGCATCCGTCGATGCAGTGCTCATCACACAGCTCACTTTTCTGCCGGTATTTGCAGGTGTCAATACAGGGACTGCCACACTCCTTATACTCCATGTTGAAAGGACATGTTTTTTCTATCCATAACATAAAAGTTATGTCTTGCAATGTATTAGTACAAATATACAGTTCAAAACTTTTTCATCTCTTACCACACAGTTGTTTTGTCTTCCACTGCTTTGGCTGTCCACCTGCATGGGCGCACTGTCGGGCGTACTCAGACACAGTCGAACACAAGCATGCACTGCTGTTGCTTTTGCAGTAACAGAAGTCTTCCACACAGGCTTCCATGAAGGACTCGGAGTCAATTAGTTTGCGACAGCTTTTAAATTCAGGTCCTGACAGCAACTTCTTGCAGAGTTTTTTCTGCAAGTTTACATTTATCATACACATTAGTGAATGCAATTATCAATCTAAAACAGCTTCAAAATGTCAAATTTTGAAAATTACCCCATCTGTGCAATTCTTATTAGCCCCGGAAGAAACCACTTTACAAGTTTCAGTGGGACTATCAACTTTCCAGTTCAACGCATATTCTTCAGGACTTATGGAAGCCTCTGTATTGAGAAGAAAAACAAGATTGTCAACTTTGATACATATGTGTCCATTTGTGTGTGAAGCGTGTGCATTAAGTACATACCTGACTGGACAAACTCATCATAAAGCTTGATTTCATTGAAGTCCCCACACAGGCCACAAGTTTGATTCTTGAATTTGGCATCCAGCTCCACCTTAAATGCATATGAAATTCAGATTTAAGTCAAATTCAGATCTTCAGATGGACTCTTGGTCCGTCTTTTTACACCTGGCTTGACTTTTGCCTTAGCTGCCTTTCTTTTAATGCTCAGTGCGCAAGGTTGGATGAAAACCCAAAGAGCAAACATTTACAAAACAGCAGTACAAACATTCTCTGACACTTGTTTAATATGCTGTCATTCAAAAGTAGTTTACTTAACTATCAAATAACTTTTCCTTTTCAAACATATTTCATTTTCTCTAAAAAGGCTTCTAAATGTTTCTTGATGACCACTGATCAGAAGATATTTACATAATCATAATCTCATAACTGGCAAAGGATATTTTAATGACGTATTTCATGCAAAGCTGCAGAAATGTATTTTAAAGTACTTATGTTTTTTTTTATTTTTTTTTACCCAAAGATGTTATGTAATGTTATTTTATAGACTTGTGATTGATCTTGATGGGGGTTATATATTTGCTATTTTGTCAGTCAATGAATAATCATGAGTTTTGCCTTATGTCAGGGTTATGTAGGATTATTTACTCGTCACTAAGGAAGGCACTAAAGTGTCACAGCTACTGTTGACTCTAGACATGCCAAAAAAACTTTTTGAGATAGAATTTTCAAATCTCTCTAATATTTTACCATTCTGCATTTTACAATCAACTAATTTTAGGTCTAATGAAATGTAATTAGAGTGGAATGTGGCTGTATAATTGGATTGCATTCAAATTTACTGGGTCAGTTTGAAATAATTTGGATTATACACAACTGAGTATGAATTCAACCAACAAGTCTTGCAAAATGTCTTGCAAAACAATTTCTTGTAAGCAGTATATGTGTTGAACTGAATAAAAAAAATGTAGTTTAATTTACCTCAACTTTAAAAAACCTTTAACAAAGCAAACAAAACTTACCCAGAGGGAGTCCTTTTGATTCCACATGAATGTCAGACCCAAATTAGCTTCAACTTTAATATAGGACATGGTTTCCTTAATTGAAATGCCACCCTGACTGAATGGTATGGAGACACTGGAAAAGAAGAATAAGCAATTAGTCTGTACATAAAACACGAATTATAAGTATAATCTTCAGATTAACTAGTATCTGAAAAGAAAAAAAACAAACAAACAAACAAAAAAAAACCCCAATAAACTCACGGTTTATTCATGACCATAACGGAAGTGTTGGCAAACTCCACCACAATCCCTTCCAGTTTCATCAGAATTCTGGTGATGGAGATTTCCCCGTCCACTTCCTGTCGCTGGAGCTGAATATTGAAACTCTCATAGCTGCCCTTACACTGGGATGTAAAGATGTAGTTACAGGTGGAGGGAAAGTGGAAGAAAGCCCCATCAAAAGTCTTGTAAAGGAAGTTCCCCCATGTGCTGCAGAACTGGTTGATGTGGGAGCCTCTCACTTCTGTTTTTTAAGGACAGAATTTTCATTATAGAGAAATTCAAAGTACAGAAATATTTTTATCTTGAGAAAGAATCAAATATATTGTTTATTTAAATCTTCACCTTTAATCACTGCCATTTTTCCCACTTTTTGATCTTCTGCTATAAAAAGAAGAAAGACATTTTTTCAGTTAGACAAAAATTGTAGATTAAAATGAGAATAAGGTTTTATGTAGCCACTGGCAGGTATAGAGTTCTCATCAGTTCTTATTATTTTACGTACCAGAGGAGGCTGCAGGTAGTCCAAGGCTTAGAATGAGCCATGGTAGCGCCCATTCTAGAAGGAGCATGACTCCTCTCATGGTTCCTCAGTTGTCCCTGTCCTGTGTTGGATACTTGTGCACTTCAGATGCGTTATATTATATATTCCTGTGGTGTTTACAGTTTAGGAGGGGTTAACAATATTCAGGGTGTCAACGTTTGTGACTTTGGTTTCCATGAATATCACTCCCACGAAAAGGTATTAGAGTTACTAATATCTTTCCATCTTTGTTTATATAGAGAAGCATTATCAGTTGAAGATTTGGAAAATGTTTTGGTTCTTAAACTTAGTGACGAACCAAAGTATTTGGACTTGAGGGTTGTGGCGCCATTCCAACAATCCTTAGTAAAATAGTTTTTATACGATTAATCTATACTTTAGTAGTGTACCATGCACTGATCAAACATTTGCTCAAGTCTGTCTTCGCCCTTCAACATTTGTTTCCCCAGTGTTATGCTTAGTAAACACTAAGCATAAGCAATGAGAAAGAGAAATCTAAACCCAGTTTGTGAATTGGCACCTCTATCTCTCTCTCTCTCTCTCTCTCTCTC